GACGCGAAAGAGGACGACGACGACGAACACGAGGAAAGACAGAGGACAACGTAGGCGACGACGACGACGACGCGGGAGGAGGGAGGACGGCGACGACGACGACGACGACGACGACGACGCAAGAGCGCGCGCGCACGCTTTTGTTCAAAATCCGTGTTGCGAAACCTTGTGTTTTTGTATGTTTTCTGGACACACGATTTTGAAATCCTTCCGAAACCCATGGGTTTTGAAGGAGCTCGGCATACGCGCGCGACAACGCGCGCGTCTGCACTTCGTCCCATTTGTTGCAAAGGATTCTCGCGACGATACACGCGCAAGGGCGTTCGACAGATTTCGACATGCGCGCGCGCGCGAAGCCCGTTTGGCAGCATTTTGTGAACAACTCGAAAAACCTATGGTTTTCTAAAGGTTTTGCAAGAGCTCGCGCGTAAGTTTTTTTAGCAAATCAGTGTTGCGAAACCCTGTGTTTTTGCGTCTTGTTTGGAAACTCGATTGCGAAATCCTTCCGACACCGCAGGTTTTTGAAGGAGTTAGGCATTCGCGCGCGACGACGCGCGCGTGTGCACTTCGTCCCATTTTTTGCAAGGGATTCGCGAAAAAGTCTTATGTTAGAACAAAAGATGTCCCCGCGTATCGTTTTCCTGTCAAGGGAACCTCAGGGGGCCGGTACCGGCCCCCCTGGGAAACTGTAAATTCATAGTTAGGATGGACGTGCGGTCAGAATCATACATGATTTACATACCCGAAAGGGGGGCGGATAACGCCGGGGGGGGGGAGAGTCTATTCTTTTTCTCGAAAAGAGAATCTGTGCAGTGTATTATAGGTTGGACAATGAAAACATGTCGTGTGAGCTATGCTGTGCCGCGTGGTCCCCGCGTGACTTTTGAGAGACCAAGGGCGTGTTGTTCGGGACATGCATGTCCCACATGGTTTCAGATGGCTCCGGAGGCCGTTCTGGAGTCCTCTTCGGCGCCTCTTGGGCCGTCTTGGAGGCTCTAGAGGGCGGCTCAAGAGGCCAAATGGCCAAAACCCATCAGTTTGTGGATGGTGTTCCCATTGCTGCCTTTTCGGTCTTCAGAGCTTCCAAGACGGCCCCAGAGGCCTCCAAAAGAGGCCCAGGAGGCCCCCAAGACGGCCCTAAGAGGAACCCGAGATGAGGAACACGAACTGACATGTTGAGCTCTCCGCCCCAAGATGGCCCTAAGATCCCCCCACAAGCCCCCGAGGTGCGCACAAGAGGCCCCAAGAGGCCCCGAGATGTCCAAACCAGACCCCAAGAGACCACAAGACGCCCCAAGGAACCTCTAAAACCGCCTCAAAGAGGAATCCGAGAGGCTTCCCAAGAAATCCTCACAGGAGGCCATTGGCAGATCACCCAGGCGCGGTGGCGGGATGGGCCACATGCCACTGCACGTCTATAGGTGTGTATATATATACACACACTTTATATATGCGTCTCTACTTTATATATATATATATATATATATATATGTATATATCGGAGGTGAGGGGTGAGATCGAAACGGAACGGAGAGCCCCCTTACTGGGAAATCGATTTCGGTTTCGTGTTCGTGCGTGCCGTGCGGGCGAGGCGAAGCTGCGTGGGCGGGCGAGAGAAGATCTCCTGTGGCTGCGGCGCGGCCGGACAAAATGTCTCCCTTCCGGGCGGCCGGGGGCCCGCGTTGTCCCGCCGGTGTCCCGCTGGTGTCCCGTGTGGCTGAGGCGCGGCCGGACCAAATGACTCCCTTCCGGGCGGCCGGGGGCCCGCGGTGTCCCGCCCGTGTCCCGTCGGTGCCCCGTCGGTGTCCCGATGATGATGATGATGATGATGATGATGTTGATGATGATGATGGTGCTGATGATACTGATGATGATGATGATGATGATGGTGTTGATGGTGTCCCGATGATGCTGATGATGGTGATGCGGATCGATTGTGAGATCGATAGTGAGGTCGAATGTGAGATCGATAGTGAGATCGATCGTGATATCGGTTGTGAGATCGAACGTGAAACCGAATGCCAAATCGATTGTGAGATCGGTTGTGATATCGATAGTGAGATCGATAGTGGTATCGGTAGTGAGATCGATTGTGAGACAGAATGAGAGATCGTTTGTGATATCGATGGTGATATCGATAATAGGACAAATGGTGAGACCGAATGTGAGATCGATTGTGGGATGTATTGTAAGATCGATTGTGAGATCGATAGTCAGATCGATTGTGAGATCGATCGATTGAGATCGATAATGAGATCGATAGTGAGTTCGATAGTGAGATCGATGATGAGACCGAGTGTGAGATCAATTGTGATATCGGTTGTGATATCGATAGTGAGATCGATAGTGAGACCGAATGTGAGATCGATACTGATATCGAGAGTGCGTTCGATAGTGAGATTGATAGTGATACCGAATGCGATATCGATTGTGAGACCGATTGTGATATCGATAGTGAGATCGATAGTGATACCGAATGTGAGATCGATAATGAGATCGATCGTGAGTTTGATAGTGGGATCGATAGTCAGATCGAATGCGAGATCGATTGTGATACCGATTGTGAGATCAATCGCGAGACCGAATGTGAGATCGATTGTGGGATCGATTGCGAGATTGATTGTGAGATCGATAGTCAGATCGATTGTGAAACCTATCGATTGAGATCGATTGTGAGATCGGTAGTGAGTTCGATAGTGAGATCAATCGAGTGCGACGTTGGTCCCTCCCCCCCCTCACCTCCTTATCACCCGAAGGGTGGTCTATGCAGTATATATGGATGATAGGTGGGACAAAGACATATATAGAGAGAGAAACAAAAAAAGCGAGAGAGAGAGAGAGAGGGACATAAAGAAAAAAACACGACAGAGCGCAAGAGAGAGAGAGAGAGCTTCGATCCTCGCTCATCCGTTCCCTCCCCCTCCTGGCCGCGAGCCGCGGAGCCGTCTGGGCCTGGTGAGTCGGGACCTCCGTCAGCTGGAACCCGCCTCTTTCCTCTGCTCCTCCTCCTCCTCCTCCTCCACCGCCTCCTTTCGCTCCTCCATCTCCCTCCCTTCACTGCTATGCAAAGCTATGCCAAGCAATGCAAAGCAAAGCAATGATAACCTAAACACAACAACGCAAACCAATGCAAACCCGCACATAGCAGCGCAAAGCAAGCACTGCAAATCAATGCGTTGCGAAGAAAAAACAAAGTAAAGCAAGCAAGGCAGTGCAAAACATAGCCGCCAGACCGACGCGCAGGCTCAGCTCCTTAGCAACAAAAAAGAGAAACAACGCAAAGCATTGCTAATCAATGCGAAGCAGAAAAACGCAACGCGAATCAAACAATGCACTGCGATGCAACGCAACGCAGTGCACAGAAACGCAAACACAATGGGAAGCACCGCAGAGAAAGGCAAAGCAATGTCAGGCAATGTATTGCAACGCAAAGCGACGCAAAAAGCAATGCTAAATAACTCAAACCAATGCAGCGCAATGCAAAGCCATGCAAATCAATGAAACGCAACGCCCAAACGACGGGCGGCGACGAGGCGGCGCCGGGGTGGCCACGGAGGCCACATAGACGCCTGACTGCCGCGCACGTCCAGCTCCTCAGAAAAGAAACAAGAACCCCTCAGAGCAAGCACTGCTTGCGACATTTCAAATATCTGAGCCAGCTTGACGGAGGTAGCTTAAACCAAGCCTGGGCCAATCGCTGATGTTGACGCTTGTGTGGCTACCGTGCTCAAGACACTGGGCCAGCTTTCCGGCAAATTGGCCAAGAAATATTGGCCCAACTGTTCATCAAGAAATTTCTGAATCATATGCTCGACCGTGATCTCAATTTCCGGGCGCAACGATAGCGTTGTGTGATCAGCTCGGGTATGCTGCGTCTTAGCTTCGATCGCCAACGTGCGTTTCAGCACGAAGAAACGCCGATCGACTAATAAAAGCTGAAACCAAGATTCCCGCTGGGGTACCCAATGAAACCGGCAACTCTGTCAAGATGCACTGCGGTTCCTCCCCCTTCGCCCTCGTTAACCCTCCACCACGCCGACACCCTTGGTTCCTGAACCTACTCTGCTTTTAATCACCCCGTTTCTCTGCCCCCCACCCCACTTCGGCGAAAGCTGAAGTCGACTGACTCCTCGAGCAGTTCAAAGCTCAATCACAAAAAGTATCGGCTGCCCTTTCAGATCAGGCGTGCACCATGCCGCGGGAAACCGCATGCTCTGCCGAGCAGAACCTCGGAAAAGGTTCCAGGAAGAGCAGAGGGATGGCGCTCAGAGCAGATGGAGGAATGGTAGGAACGGAGTAGGCGGCAACAATGACACTGGCGAGGCGGGGTGCCATGAGCAGCTGTGTGCCCGGACGCGCCAAATGCTCTGCTCGTGGAGACACCACGGGGGCCCGCATTTCAGTGTGCCCCCTGGAAGCTGTCAAGAATACAACGAGTTTCACTCCATCCGTGCGAGTCGGATCTGTCCAGCTGCAACGGGTGATGTGGAGTCTGGGCTGATGGCGTCCAGTGGGGGTAGCCTGCCAGGCGCCCTCTCACGCGCCTCGGCCGCTGCAGATACCAGTCGCGGACCCGAATTATGGTCCTTCGTTTGCGATGCCCCGAGTTCGCGTTAAAGGCAGGAGTCAGGAAAGAAGTAGTTAATAGACGCAGTCTTAGTAACTGTACTATACCTTGCTGCTCCAAGGAGGGGGGATGGGCAGGACAGTAGGGCGGCGGGGCAAAACGACACGCGCGGAATTGTCCACAGCTAACCTGCAAGTCGGCCCAGCAACTTGATACGCCCGCGCGAGGAGTACACACCGAGTGGCGCGCTGACAAATCTCTTCGGCAAGTCAAGCAGAAAGACGGCCGGGTTGGTGTGGATCGCGCTAAACACAGGTGCCAAGTAGAAAAGATCGCCTTCGTCGGACTCAGGGTCGAAATCATCATCCGACACTTCTCGACGGGCTCTCCCTCTCCCAATCCCTCCCTCCCCCTCTTGCTATCTCGTTCTCTCTCTCTCTCTCTCTCTCTCCAAAAGCGTGGACACGCGGCAGCTCGGCTTCGGAATCGAACGCTTGCACCACGATCTCCCTCGGCGCGAACTCTGAGAAAGCAAGACAGCTCGGCGCCGCGTAGGTGTGCGCACCTCAGGAGGGAGAGAACAAAAAGTTCAGACAGCGGCCATCCTCGATGCGGCACAGCTGAGACTTGATGCCTGCATTTGCTGGAGCGCCTTTTCTCACCGATCGAGCAGCAACCGGACCAGGCTCACGATGTCGGTGCAGTGCGCCTCACACAGATAGCAACAGTTAGCCACTGTCCCCGAGGGCGAATGGCGTCGAAGGAGCAATTGAGCAGCCCATGGTCCCAGACGTAGCACGGCAAGGAGAGTGCCGAGGAGGAATGTGAGAATGACAAGAAGAAACGTTGGGGGGAAGGGTTGCCACCACTACGGGCAAACAAGAAATCAACAAACATGTTGAAAACTCCCTGGCCACCATTCCGGGGTGCTTCCGCTCCGCGATGTACAGCGTGCATTACGAAGAAATCAGCTATCAACGGCACACTAAACGACGCCATGCCAATGGGGCAACCATACCAGATTGCAACACACAACTTGCCGCGCATTCCTGGGACACTCGCCGGCAATGGCGCATTCGACCTCACAATGCGTGCGAGGCAGGCCCCTGCTCGGCATTTATTGCTCTCGAGCGTGCCATGTCTGCCATGATCTTGTCAGCCAACCGATGACGACCAAACTTCTGGCACTCTGACCTCAGAACGACGCACGTGGAAACGCAGAGGGCCATATTTGCCGTAACCGCATCCTCGTACAATTCAACGCCGTACTGAATGCGCCGGAGCGCGATGCAGGAGAGGATCCCATGGTGGTAGGCAAAACGATCGGGCTTGAAGCACCTGTTGCGCATCGTCGCGAAAAGTGCGAGATCCTTCTCGGGTTCGTTGTTGGATGAGTACGAGTTGACCATGATCCCAGAAGACTTTGCATTGGGTTCCAGCGCACGGCTTGCCATCTGCATGAACAACTGCTGAACTTCTTCGTGCATACCAAGCTGGCAACAAGCAACCAAGACTGACGCCGCCTTGTCGGCTTTATATCCCAGCCACTCCATCTCGTTGAACACCTTTAACGCGAATGCTGGATCCGACCACTGGTGGGCCACCACGATGTTACGGTATGCCCGAATGCTGAGAATACCACCACCGTGCAAAACCGTTACAAAGCACCGCAATATGCTATCGGGACGGAGATTGCCGCATGCAAGAAACAAGCGATTCCGGGTGACAGCCGGCGATGAAAGCCCATGAGCTTCCATTAAACAATAAGTCACGGCCCGTCTTCCCAAATGCGTTTGTCATTGAGGGTGCCAGCGACGAGATTTAAGAATTTGTCGGACACAAGCTTGGCAATGGCATGTGTATTTGGAACGGCACCCCTATCCAACATCAGATCGAATACTTTCAAGGCTGTGGCTCCGTGTCCGAGTCTGTTGCACGTACTCATCACTTGACGAACCGCTCGTGCGTTGTACGGCACAAACTTCGTTTGCGCGCATCCCATTAAACGCAAACCATGTGTCATTCGATGTTGCCTCTGTCCCAGCCGATCCTCGGATATGGCAAGATCCTTCCTCGGACGACAGTCGTCCTGAGTGGTAGCTGCAGGGTTGGACTGCTGCCCTCCATCGCAAGCACTGCTGCCTGTCACCGAACTCGTGGTGAACAACTGTACCGCTTTGGCGTTGACGCCCGTGGTCCTCGAAGCGTAGCGACCAAGGAAATAGGAAATAAGACTAGCTGTAACCCACAGGAGCCATGACGCATTAACATGTTGTGTCGCCAGGAATGCTGCACGGAACAATGCCGCTTACAAGTGCCTCGCAAGTTTGAGTACAGAGCGGTGTCCTACACGGTAGGAGCATGTGGGTTACAAGGCCCATCGAAATTGAGCCAAATTGTGCGGACCCCTCGACCCTCACATATTCCAAAACGTCATCTAACAACCCCCTCGACCTTCGGCTCTCCATCTTCCTCTGCCCTCGACTTCCAAAGGTGGCGGTGACCCCCTGAGTGTGACCCCCCTGGGCTCTGCCCTCATGGTCCTCCTCAAGTCCCCAGGGGGCGTCCAAAAGGGAAGCGTCCAAGGCGGGGGTCGCAAATTTTTGGGGGAACGAAAAGGGGAGTAGCAAAGGGTAGAATGGAGAATCAGCTCACGTAGCTGATTTTCCCAGCGCATCCTGGCGCCGGGAGGCGCCCATGTATCGATGAATGGGCCCGGCGGCGGGGCCGAAACCAGCTGCATGCAGCAGATTTCGTACCCCCCCCCCTTCCCTATCCCCCTCCTCTCGTCCGGCCCGAAAATTATGGCCCGAGGCACGTACGGAGCCCATGGGGGGCAGGGGACGTGCTGCAAGCCGAAGAAGGGGCAATCACATCTGGAGCGAGACCATGGCCCAGGACATGCTACCCCCCGGCTCCCGCCCCTGGTCTTAGGTTGGGCGTGCCCCCCTACAGGAGGAATACTCCCAAATAGCAAAACAATTTGGGGACGATGCTTCGAGTATGTTTTGACTATGTTTGGGTCGATTTTTGTATTTAAATTTTTTCGTCCAAAATCCACATGTAGGGGGCCATGCCCGACCTAACCCTCGTCTTTCTTTGTTTGCCGCAGATCAAGAAGCCTAGAACTTAAGCTGTTCCTATGTTCTTCCCATGGAGCGCTGCCTCCTGGGACGCCTCATCTAATGCTACCGCTTCCGCCCCGAATGCTGTCAATGGTAGTGCCGGACAAGCGCAGTGAACAACCAACAGCTCGTAGAAGTAATCACTGTGTTCGCCGCCCTCCTACTCACACCCACCCCTGACCACCCCCTCCCGACTCGTCCCCCCTCCCCACTCACCCTCCTGCTGAAGATTGACCGCGCGCGCCCTGTCGGGGCCGCTCTCCCCAGGCCTGGCGCCGACGGGGCCAGAGCAGCGTGCAATTGCAAAGTTCACTCTTTCAAACCCGCGCCTACATGGTCGGACGCAAGAATCTGGCCATCTGCCCAAGACCGCGTCGAGAATGAGCAATGCGAGCGCAAAGGCCTTGCAACGCAGCCGACTGGACAAGGAGTCGAATACCCTTGACAGCAACCATGATTGAGAAACGGCGCAATGCCGTCTCACGGGAAGAGGCCATCCTCCACCGAGACCGCGACAACCCTTTCAAGACCAACCCATCCTTGCAGGATGATGCCATTGATCCCCGCAAGACCCTCCGATCTGAAAACATGCAAAAAGATGTTGCCACCTGGAAGAAGTCCACGGTGTATCGCCGGCGCATGGAGGATATTACCTTGTCGCAATTGAAAGCCTGGCGGGGGTTGGGCCAACACCAAGGCCGAACGACCCATGGAAAGACAAGAACGAGAGAGAACGGATCAATGTGACGGGCAGGTGGAGGGGAGGCAAAGGGAGGTGGCGAACAGGAGGAGGAGATCATAATCAAGGCGAGGGGAGGAGGAGCCTCAAGAAAGGGCAGCTGGGAAGACAAAAGTAAGGCACTATCAACCTCTTTGCCCTGGACTGCGGACTACCTCGAGAGAAGGGAGGGGAGGCAAAGAGGGGAAGGGGGTGGAACTTCTTGGGAGGGGGGAGAGGAGGGGGAGTAGGAATGGAGAGGGGAGAAGCGAGGGGAGAAGGGAGGGAGAGAGCACGGGCCGTTCGGAGCACCTCCCATACCCATTCGGCCTCCTCGTCCGAGGCACCACGCCCGACCCCAAGACCTCTGGCGCCTTGGATTCCTGATCCCCCAAATATCCCAACTAAGAGGAGTGTGCTGGGCCCCAGGATGCGCTGAAGCGTGCCAACGGCTCGCGCGGAGCACATAGAAACCAAGAGCGGGTCGAGAGCTCCAGAGGAAAAAAAAAACAATGCTCTCAAACACCGGTTGTCTGCTTCCATACCCTTCTACCTCTCTCTTGTTTTGTTGCGCGCTCTCTCTCTCTCTCTCTCCCTCATTTGTTGTTTCTCTCTCTCTCTCTCTATCTCTCGTTGAGGGTGAGAGGGAGGGCCTTGACATCAGCTCACGACGCCGACGTGGCTCTGGACATGGCAGCACACAGGCAGAGTCGGAACTCACACCATGTCCCATCGAGCTCCCTCAGGCAGGACGAGGGACTCTCGCTGCAGCGCGCAAAAGGGGAGAGGAGAAGAAGAAGAGGGAGGAGGACGGCAAACTGCATACTCCTGTCTGTCTGTCTGACTGTCCGTCTGTCTGTCTGTGGATCGTTCTGTCTGTCTGTCTGTCAGTCTGTCAGTCAGTCTGTCTGTCTGTCTGTCTGTCTGTCTGTCTGTCTGTCTGTGTCTGTCAGTCTGTCTGTCTGTCTGTCTCTCTGTCTGCCTGTCTATCTGTCTGTGTGTCTGTCTGTCTGTGTCCCTCATCCTCTCCATGTCCCTCTCTTTTTCTATGTGTATATAACGGTGAATATGTACAATCATGTACACACGGACTTCACCCTCCCTGGTCCCCTCCCACATACCCTTCCACTACATCCCCCCTCCCAAGCACCCCTGGACCAGAACATCACGCAAACGACTCGCCATTCTCTGACCGACCATCCAGTAGGATCATGTCACTGCTGAAGGTGGTGAGCTGTTTCATATGACGGCGGCAACCAGAAACGCGTCACGACGCCCAATTCGCAGCATATGCGACCTTGCTCTCTCCGGCCAGCAAAGGGGATAAGGGGATATGTGTGTGTGGGTTTGTGTGCTTGTTCCCTCTCCAGTGGGCTTGTCGCGCCTTTCCCCTCTTCCCTCATTCTCCTCCTCCTGGCCTCTGGCCTCGCTCTGTCAAGGCATGACTGGCTCGAACGGGATCGGTTCGTGCTGCACCTCAGCCATTGTCTGGCCTGTTCACGGCTGCTTGTCAGCACGACTACATGACCGCGCTCAAGGAGTGCGGCAAGACCACACCAGCCCCGCACCGCTGCTACTGGATCCTCCGTCCAACCTTGTCCGCACTGTGGCAACGGCGCGGCTGGAGCTGAACATCTCTGGGCATGGTGCCCCGCGGTAGCGACGGTAGCGCTAGCCTGACAACTCGTCAGACCTGACGATGCCCGATACTCCGTCGACACCACCCTGCTGGATGACGGCCGACATGAAGACCTCCTCTGTCAACTCCTACACCGGGTGTCAGATCGGCACACCGCTGAGACTTTCCCCCATGACCGCGGACGACGCCGTCCATGAGGTTCTCGCTGGTCTTACGCTTCCAGACAGCGATGCCCCCGATCCAGACGACTGAGAACACCTCCTCTACACAGCAGTGCATCAAGGGGGATTGGGAGGTGGTGGCGGGTGCTTGTTCTGGACGAAGAAGACAATATGGCCACAACCTTTCGGCAGCCAGCGTGGATTTCACACTGCGGCGCTGGAATGGGGGGAACTTCAGCGGCCGCTCTCAACGAACTCCCGCGGTGGAACCCGCCCAGCAGCCCGCGCGCGGAGGTGCGCCGCGCGCCGCCCGCCGAGGGCAGAGACGGCGGGGGGCTCGGGGGGCCGCAACTCGGGGGCTGCGCGGCTGACGTCACTGAGCTCCCCGTGGCCCAGACGGCGGAGAGCCCGAGAACGCGCGCGCGCTGCGCTCTCCACGTTCGAGGACTACGCCGCAAGCCGGGGCACGGACGTCGCGAGCGCAGCGTCCTCGAGTCGCCTGCAGCAACAGCGCGAGAGCCGAGCTCCCCAGCAGTTCCGCGCGAGTGGGTCGCCCGTGCGCGGCGGCTCTCATCGGGGTCGCCAAGGTCGCGTGCTCCCAGCTCGCCGCGCGGGGGGCTTAACGCGAGTCCAATTGCACCCGTGCGTGAAACGACGGCGTGCCGAGCGCCACCCGAATCGCCTGGGCGAGGACTGCCAGCTCGGCGGCAAGGACAGCACGTGGCATCCCAAAGCGTTGACTGCTAATGATGCAAGTGTTGTAGATAGTGGCCGACTGGCTGGCAGGGGTGGCTCTGCGCCCGACAGCTCAAGCCCTCGCGCGAGCCTTGGCAAGAGGACCGGCCCAGAGATGCATCGTATACACAGCGGGGCCCAGCCACGTCCCAAGGCATAACAGCTCCGGGACCACTTTCACGAAGGCCCAGCGGGGGGCGACACGGGCGAGTTCACCTAGAACCAGGGTTGCGCAGGCCTCGGAACAAGCCCCAGAAAGAGAAACCACATGACACTTCGGGGTCTTGAGAGCAAAGGTGGCGAGCAACTCCGCACCCCGCATCGCGCGGGCGACCAAAGCCATGACCTCTATGCTGCGCAACTTGCAACCGTCATCGCCCGCGCAAGCACGGACCAGACCGCACCCCGAGACCTCAGTCAGAGCGTTGAGATGACACAGGAATGGGGAGGTAGCGAGGGTGCAGAGGGTACCCGAGAGAGCACGCCCTTGCAAGATCCCACTTCGAATCCAATGCAGGTGCACACGGAGCCCATGTAGAGACGCGATGCCCTCGATGGCCTGGTAGAAGAGACCGGCGAACCTCAGGAAGCCTTCGGGGAGCTCTAACCGCAGTAGGAGGAACATCAACAGTTCTTGGCTCAGGAAAGGGAAAGCCTGCTCGTAGTCCGGGCAATGGTCCAGGAGGCGCCCCATGGAACATGCCGGGGCGATGGGCAGCTGCCGACTCGAGACGTCGAGATTTGCAACGTTGAGCCCGAAGTTCCGCCAGGGGACGAAGCTGCGTTGACAGGCAGGGGCGATGCGCTCCAGTGCCGGTCGCACTGCGGCGCTCATGGTAGCCTTAAAGGTCGCAGAGAGGACCCTCACATCGAAGCTCCTCCACCCTAGGGCGCGCACGTTGTCCGCCGAACGCTCAATAACACCAGACTGGGCGCCTAGGTCATAGTGCTGGGCACATGGGCGATCCCCGGATTTCCTGGCAAAGACAAGCCCCGAATGACGTTTCACGAGGTAAAGTCGGTCAGCGGGGACAGCCGCTGCGCGGCCATGCTCGTCCGCGGCCGCAG